TAAGAAAGGCTTTGAATATGGGTCTGGAGATGGGTTTTGTGTGCCCATCAACTGGGAATTAGTCTAGTTAAATTCCATGGACCACATAGTCAGAAATTTTGCCACCAAGAAATAAAGTTTTGTGCTCATAGCAACTCATTGAGAAATTGAGATATTTGTCATGAAGGAGGTACCCACATTGGTGAAATCATTGTGACTTTAAAGTATGAAAGATGTTGAATCATTTTTAAGGACACATAACAAAAAGTTTGGTGACAGTGACATATATGTAAAAGGCAAAGGAGCCAGGGCAACTGTAGAGATGCTGTCTTTTGGGTGAGGTACTGGACCCATAACTCCACCAACACACATAGCCTACAAATTGTAATTATTAAACTATCAATTACAATTATGAAAATTGTAATAGCTTCCAAAGAACAGATAATAAACCATGTATGGTGTGTATTACCTACCTTAATAACTGTTTAAATGTGTATAGTTTCCATATTTCCCTATGCATTAATACTCCTAAACCTTCTCATCATCACTATGACCTCTAATCTATCCCTCACTCAGAGTAATCCCTCGTAATTACTCCCTGCTTTGTCTATGCTCTCTCTTCCCAGTCATGATTCCTTGGTGAATCAGTTCAACTTTATATTATCTTCTGCTCTCTTGTTCCCTGATTCTATTGCTGATCACACTTTGCTAAAGACCAATCCTGAATTATTTCTAACATCTGTTGCTAAATGAAACTGGAGGAAATCATGAAACCATATTGATTGGGTCCATTCTCAATGAATGCTAGCTAATCTCACCCGGGCCCTCACTGCAGCAAGGCAATCCTGCTGTCACCTTAACAATTACCTATCTGACTCACCATAGAAGCTGTTCCAAACATTCTATTTCTTCTCAAGCCTCCCATGATACCTCCTTCGCCCACTCTCTGAGCTTAGGAGCTTGCTTCATATTTCACTGGAAAAAAAAAATGAGGTCATTATATGAGAACCTTCTTCTCTTCACCTCATCTCTTATCCCTCTGACACTTTCCCCCATTATCTCTTTTACTACATTCTCTGATGAAGATGTGACTCTTCTGTCTGATATTTTCTCCTTTATGGGTTTTCATGAGGATGCTCTCTCATGGTTCTCTCCCTTTCTCTCTGATTGCTCCTTCTCAATCTCCTTTGCTGGTTTTTCATTCTAGATCATGCCCACCAACTTCGAGTGTCCTTAAAGGCTCTGTTCTATTATCTCTTCTCTATTCTCTTACATTATCTCACTGGGAAAACCAGTTTAGCTGATATAGCAGGGCACCCTGAGGGGGAGAGAGAGAGGAAGCAACATGTGCCAGGCAAGTAGAACCATCGACATTGCTACCTTCACTACCAACTCTCCTTGGACCCTGATGGAGACTATCCAGGAAAGAAACAAGGGAATAAAGATTTTAAAAACACCTAATTTGTGCCAGGCACTGCACTAAATGCTTTTTACAATTAGTATCTCATTTAAACTTCACAACACTGCAAGGTCGGTACTATCCTTATCCTTCTTTTCTGTTTGAGGAAACTGAGACAAACAAAGGTTAAGGGACTTGCCCAGGGTCACACAGCTACTATCTGAGGTTGCATTTGAACTTAGGTCTTCCTGAATTTTAAGTGCAGTCCTCTATCTACTCTGCCAGCATCTGCCTTTGAATCCAAGAACCTTGGGAACAACAATGTCCCCAAAACCATCAGACCTGCTTCCAGCACAGCCATAGTTGATGGGAGAAATGATCATGTAGAAGGGGCCCCCCGTTTTCATCCCTGTAACAATTGGTGACCAACAGCTACCAATAGTAGATGAGAACAAGAGCCCCACCACCTCATCATTTCCCAATGGGATCAAATATTATCTCTGTGTTGAAGATTCCCAGGTCCTTAGATTCAACCCTAGTCCCTCTCCAGTCCCACATCACTAACCGCCTATTAGACATTTTGAACTAAATATCCTATGGATACTTGACATATCAAAACCAGAACTCTATCTTTTCCCACAAACTCATCCCTCTTCCTACCTCTCAATTATTACTTAGGGCACCACCATCCTTCAACTCACCCAGGTTCTCACTTTCAATGTCACTCTCAACTCCTTACTCTCATTCACCCCACATATCCAATAATTGCCAAATCTTTTCGTTTCCTTCCCTCTCTCAAAATTCCCTTTTATCCACTCACACAGCTACCACCCTAGCTCAAGCCCTCACCACCTCTCACCTGGTTGATTGCAATAGCTTTCTAAATGGACCTCCTGCCTTAAGTCCTCCTTATTCCAAACCACACAATTGCTAAAGCATTTCCTGAAGCATAGGACTACATCACAGCTCTGCTCAATAAACTCTCAAAGCTCCCTATTACTGGTAGGATCAAATATACATTCATTTTATATTTAAAGCTTTTTACAACCTGAGCCTTTTTTTTATCTCCCTAATCTTTTAATACGTTAGACACCCCCCCCCCCCCAATACTCTCTATGGTCCAGTCGGACTGGCCTATTGGCTGTTTTTCTGCACATCAGGCTCCACCTTCTATCTCCATGCTCTTGTATGGGCTGGCCCCCATGCCTGGAATGCTCTCCCTTCTAAACTCTCCCTCTTAGAATTTCTGCTTTCCTTTAAGCCTCAAGTCAAGTGCTAGCTCCTTAAGGAGGCCTCTCCCTCCAACTAATGATACCTTCCTTTTATTCTGTATGTATCCTCAGCTCTTTGAACAGTCACTGGTTCATAAGTCCTTAATAAATGCTTGATTGATCAATTACAAATAAATGCTTGATTGATCAATTACAATCAATTATAAGTCCCTCCTTGTTACAGGTATTCTTTCAATAAGATGACTTGTAAAGTGCTTTGAAAATAAATGGGTTAGTGCATGGAGGAGAACAAAAATGAATTTAGTTAATAATTGTTGATCTCAAAGAAGATGAGGCATCAAAGCCACTTATTTCCATTTAAAAGTTATGGAATGGACATAGATGGCAGCCAGATTCTAGCGTTGAGTTTGCTGCTTAATTGTGTCTCCTAACAGGTTATTCTTTCTCATCTGAAAAAAATCCCAAACCCAATACCTATCTCCTCAGAACATTGTGAAGTAAGTAGTTGTAATAAGTCTGGGACTTTTAAAAGAAAGTAAACAAAAGGAGACAGTTTCATATTATTATTTGAATAATGATAATATCATTAATGTATGCTCTAGAACAGAAACAAAGACGATGTTGATTATGAGAAATAATCAGGGGTTCGGCAGCTTTGAGAATATGGCTGGAAGGTGTTAGATGCCCTTTGACACACTTTACATGTAAGCAAAAATGAAAAGGAACTCAAATCATTTGACATGAGTGTCTATAGAATGAATGGACCTGATGTTGAGAACAGAACAAATTGTTTACCTTTCTGAAGATCCAAAAACTTGTATGAAAAACGTACTGTGTTACACAACTTGGGAAGATCTTGGGTAGCTTGAAAGGGTTAACAAACCATAAAAGCAAATTCAAAATTGAACAACAAATTGTGAGATGTGAACCCAAAACATGTTAACCATTTAATATAAAGAAATTTTTGCCACAGGAAACACATCATAAGCTACAGTTTTTGGTCAGACTTGCAGGCAGCCCCCATTCATAGGGATTCTTTTACAAAATGAAACGACTAACAAAAACTGGCATCTACTATATTTGAGACTTGATGTGGGGGGTGGGGGGGGAGATGGAGGCGGGGAAGAGCTAAGATGTGAAAAGCATGTAAAACTGGATGCTCAGTTCATTTTAAGGGCAATTCCAAGCCAAAGCCATTCTGGGGTCTTTTTAGTCTGTAAACAGCAAAAAGAACTAAGCATCTAATTTTTTAAGTTCTTCTGGCTTTTCTTTTTGACCTTTGGTATTTGTATGTATTGACGCTCTCTAAACCATGGTACAAAAACACCTTGAAGTGTCAAGCTTTAAAAATGAGTCTTCTTTTCTCTTTCTCCTGTGCAGCTTGGATTATCTTGGCCTTGTCAAAATACATTCTCTAGTTAGAGCTTGGAAATATTTCCCTCCTGGCTCCCAAGTATTGATTTTTCAACACTCAGTTCTGTCCGTCAGCTGAAGAGGTGAAAGGTGAAAGTTCATCTAGCACTGCTTGGCTTTACCTTCCTATTAATGTCATGCCCTTTCCACATTTGATCAGATTATGTGATCACCAATCATACAGAGCTGTTATTGCCCCTACTTTACCTATACAAAAGCATTTAAATCATCATTGGGCGCTAAAACAATTCATGGTTCCAGACACTCTAGGCATTTGAAGAGTCAAAGCTGTCGTGATCAGCTCCTTTTATGCTTATCTAATTGTCACAGAAAATTATATTGTTACATAATGACTGACAATTCAAATTGTCCTAGCTTCTTATCTGAAAATTGAAAGAAAAGGATTGCATTTACTGCTCGTACTATAAACCTCTGGAAGCAATAATGACCATTTTGTTATTCTTGCCCTTGCTCAAAACCAATTATGCTCTTTTACCTTGGGGATTCGAATTCAAGTCCAAACTGAGTATTAAATGAAATGAATTTAATGATCTTAGCTCAGCTCCCACAGGACAGCAGCCCATGTTACCAAATCTAACAAGGTATAATTTGGTGCAATTAACAGGATACTTAGGAGCCAGGGAAGGCAGATGCAATAATAATGAGCACTATTGCTCTGCCCAGGCCACAGAGGGTACTGGGTTTTGGCCAGGCAGCCTTTCTTCACCTGGTCCTATCACACTTCTAACAGCATCCAGGAATGGAATTTGCTCTCTAATGTCTTTTTTGAGCAAAGTCTTGCCTTTCTTGGACATGATTTTCTAGATTCATTGGGAAGTAAATAACTATTTTAGTAAAGCATAGGTTTTATTTTAGTGGTGAAAGAAAAAAAAAATACAATCAGCATAAAATGTCATTTGAAAAGATGTAAGAAAAGTGAATAAAATAGCCAACCTAAACAGACAGCCCAGAAAAGATGTTTTTCAGTACAATTCAGTTTTATTTCACACACATATGTACACAGGGACATTTAGTGCACAGAGCATCTATTAAGTGGAATCTGGCAGACATTTCAGCTCATTTGTGACCCATAGTCACTTCAGTCATCACAACATTTTCATACAGGTGTCCCATCATGTCATCTTTTGCTTATAAACTGCCAATGAAGCCACAGATGTCTCTACATTTACAAGGACAAGTCCAAATACAGTACTAACAAATCAATAAAACACTAAAAGCTTACACTGGAGTGACAATACGAAGTTTACCACGGTGCTGAGAGATCTAAGCTGGAATGAAGTTTGGGACTATAGTTGACAAAGTGGTGAAGAGGTTTGTGTTTAACCAATAGGCCAATTTTAGTGTAGTAGTTGGATATGTCTACTAGCTAACATCACCCCACTCCAGGGCTTGGTAACGGAACCTGCTCCTGGCCCATAACTCTGATGGTCTGCTTGGACAGAGATTGTGAGAGATGGAAAGATGTTAATCTCTGGAGCATTCTGACTCATGTAGCTTTCCCAATTTATTTTCTTCTCTATACCACAACTGTATCTGGAAGAGATGAAATGAGGCTGTTGTCTTGTCCTGTTCCTTCTTGTGAAGTATTTAAATGGTTTGTTTATAAAAGAAACACAGGCAGTTTACTCTTCTTAAGGTACACTTTTACAATATCATCCCAAAATATTTTTGTACACTAGAAGAAATTAATTCTCTTTTAGATTCAGAAAATAAACATGGACATGCTCCTTCCAAGAACATGACTCAGGGTGTTCATGGCTCAGGTAGCCTACTGGAAAATAAATAAAGTGCACCTTTTAGTTTTTCTTCATAGTTCTCTATCTAAATTGAGCATGACAGCATATTCATCAAACAAAGATTATGCTGTATAGGTCTTTACTTCTTCCTCGGAAACTACACATATAGTCTTTATAAATACAATACTCATGCACGTGGCATAAATTCACTTCAAAAAATATCCATACTACAGAATTTGACCACCAGGGAATACTACAGCTTTGCCACAGTTAGAAATAATACACTTTACAACAATATGAGGGAAACATTCCTAATGGTCTTAATTTCTTTTTCTGTTCTTTACAAACTCACTTCAGTAAAACAATAGATGTGTTGCTGTGTGTAGACTGTGATCTTACTTTTTCCATATATTACATAAACTCTCTCTTTGAAAAATCAATGATTTTTAAATTTAGAAGCAATCGTTTGCTTTCTTCCTTTATTACCACTTTTGGTTTCTCAGTGAGTTCCATATTTTCTTTTTCTCTAATCATTAACTTACAGAACATTTTCCTTTCATGAGTTTTCAGACAAAATGGCCACTAGTCCCCTACCCTACAAATCCTTAAGCCAACAAAACTATACATACATCAATATTTGTTAGGAATAGTTTATACAAAATATTATTTTAAGGATTTCTTTTATTACTGTGAGCATGAACTAGCATAATTTGACAAACTGATATGTAGCAGAAAAAAATGAACACCTAAATACGCTGAAGAAGAAAAAATCCTCCTTTGGATATTATATTCAAGCAAATTTACAGAAACATAAATCATTCACCTTTCATATGTTTTTCACAATTTTGTGCCATGTTTGCTAATTACCTAGGATATTTTCATTTTGGCAGAGTTTTTGCAAAAACAAACAAAACCTCCTTTACTCAATCAATGGTTTTTGAAGGCTAAATTCAACATTAGAATTATCAGCATGATAACTGACATGCCACAAATGTAATTTCCTACAATTTGATTCATAGATTTGAAATATTTCTGGGGGGAATAAGCTCTTTTTCAGAAAAAAAAAAGTATCTCCATATATATGTATACAAGAATGATCTTAGGTTTTGTTTTTTATTGTGCAAAACTGAAGGTATTGTTATGTGGACTAGATACTTCTTTTGTTTAGATCACAACAAGCAATGGATTAAACTATCTAATGAATAAGCCATCACTTGAACATTACAGAAGGGCATTTGCCTAAAAGAGGCTGTTTTATGTTGAAAATTTCTCCATATACTTTCTCACTTCTCTCAAACCAGTTAGATCCTTAAAAAGGAAGGTAACTGATAAGGTCTAGAACACTGGACCGAGTAATCACCCAGTGATCACCTGAGGAAAGTACATGTAAATGTAGAAACTTTTTGGTAAATAGTAGTATGTATTAAGAAACCCAAAAGAAAATTATGTTGATAATTAGGACTGCCATATTACCTCAACATCCAATATCAAAGCTACTAGATTCTACTGTATGTCAGAGCTTGGGCTTAAATTCCTGAAAATGCTGATCTAGTCAGGGAGTGCAATCACAGTGTTCATTGATTTTCCAGCTTCTGCTGCACCAAGCAACAAGAACCTTCCCAATAACTGCCTTCTTTTCTCTCCCACCAATGGCAGGGAAAAACCATCTGGTGATCAAATAACCACAGACTATTGAGTTGGTAAGTATGTGCCTCTGAATCCATAGTTGGTACAAAGGGGATTCTGCCCTACAGAAAGAACCATGCACAAATGTTGCTTATCTGGCTGATCCCACTCGATGACTTCTATAGGCACTGATGTGGGTAAATCCAGTATGAGTAAGGATGGAGAAATATAGGCTTACAGAGAATTTTAAAAAAAAAATTATAATAACATAGACCTTAATTCTAGACCATAAATCGATGCTCCTTTCCATCATGGGCCATTAGAATAACATTGCGATTCGAAGTCCAGATCAGCCGGGCCAGTCTGAGCGCATTATGTGACCCAGGGGATGCAGGCTGGACAGGGGGCACCTGGTAAGTTTTAATACAGCGAAGTTGGGGTGCTGAGTTCAGCATGCCAATACTTCCCAACAGTGAGGTATTCATCTGAAACAAGAAAGAGAAAATGACTTTATTATGTGCCTTTAAAACATTTTTTCTTTAATAAGGTCAAAAACTGTATTAAATAATATTCATTCAACCACTCCTTCTCAAAATGGTTATTCATCATCTTTAAATGATTTATTTTCTTAAATCCTGAAGAACTTCATATACAACGTCTGAAATAGTCCTGATCATGTTTCCGTAAATTTTTGGGAAAAAGGAAAACTTTTTCTTTGACATATTTGTGGGCTGAATTCCCTAATTCTCTGTTAATATCTGAATAAAAATTCACCTGAACTATAGGTGCTGATATTATATGTAAGAAAGGCTTGAATTTGAAAATAATATACGTGCTTGAAAATATTTATCTTCTTGCTTGATATCAGAGCTAATACAATTCTATTTTAACATGCCATGTATGGATGGGAGATATCTTGCTGTAAAAAAGCCTATAAGGCAGTGTGTTTTTTCTACTGATTCAAATGCCTTTTAAATTTTTTTTTAATTTTGTAATCAACAAACAGTAAGTACAACAAGGCCTTATATTTCCTAAAAGTAAAAAACAAAACAAAGCCATAAACAACCAAGCAAAAAACTACTGTATAGTTTTTGTGAATTATAGTCTATAGGAACAAGGAAACAGTAAAATTGAACAACAGAGTGGGAAGATGCTGATTCAGATCCCACAACATAACCCTTTCTCCTCTATGTCTTACTCAGTCAGGCCTTTGGCTCTTGTCTCCCTTCAAATTAAACTGAGAGATCTTAATCAGCATTTCAGCACCATTATCTATAGCTCATCTATGATTTCCATGTCAGATAAAGAAAACACAAGGCTTGAAAGCTTATTATGATGCATTTTTACCAGGAAGTAAATCAAGTTTGGGCACAATATTTGTTTAAAAAAAATATCTTTTAACTTCTCTTATCAATCCATGAAAATGGGTAAGGTAATGTTAAATTATGAATTATACACTTAGGACACATCATTAACAATTTAAAAAATTAAATTCCAAAAGTATATTGGGGCATAGTTAGCTAAGCAATTTAATCTAGCTAACTGAATCTTTGAAACACTTTTCTGAAGAGCTTTTCTTTAGAGGTCGTTCAGTACACACTGCTGATGCTATGATGAACACTTTGAAAGTTAGAAAGGAAATCTCAGAAACGGGTTTTTCCCCCCTTCTCTTATAATAACTTTTATTTCCAGTTCTTTTCTTCAGTAAGATTTCCATCTCAATATATTAGGTTCTTGGGATTTGTATGGCCCAACTGCATATGTAAAATCTGACACATAAAACCGTGGCAAATCTTAGAACATTTAAGATGTGTTATTGCTGATATCATGTTCTGAATTCTGATCAGTACAAAATATAAGCCATTACTTTTTCTGGCCCTTCTCAGCAGCAGAATGGTGTCAGAGAGCGTAAATCACCACATCTCTAGCAGGTAGCATGCAAGCAGCACTGACATTTTCACAATTTAAATCATCTTGAGTAATAACCCTTTTAAGATGACTAATGTTACTGATTTTCCTGCATTAATAATAGTGCCGAATACAACACAGAGGTGAACAAAATCACTAGCGTATGAGGTCACATTTTAAAACCAAATGTATGGTTATGGTTAACTCTTTCTGCTAAAGTTTAGTCTGACATTTAGCATATTTCAAACCAAATAGTGCCAAAGTCTTGATCCCCTCAGTGTTTTAAGATTATTTTCAAAGATTTTAATGAAATTTAAAAATCAATCCCTTGATGCTTTTGAAAGATCCCCAAATAGTTTACACAAGGATAATATTTCAAAGACCTTACAGTTAAAAGAAGTAACCATATTTAATAATTCAATCCTAATTATAGCATGACTGACTAAATGACCCAGAAAATTAATGATTAAAAATTAACTGACATTAAAAAGTATATTGTATTTTTTAAATACCTAATTTTGGGGCAGCTGGGTGGCACAGCAGATTGAGCACCGGCCCTGGAGTCAGGAGGACCTGAGTTCAAATCTGGTCTCAGACCAGATACTTGACATGTGTGATCCTGGGCAAGTCACTTAACCCCAATTGCCTCACAAATAAATAAATGAATAAATATCTCACTTTTAGTTGATAGACAAATTGTTCTTTTTCATGGATTTTCTATGAAAATATAAATACATGAAACTCATACTGTGCTCATGAGTCCCATCAGTGGCCATATGCTCAGGTACTTCGTCCTTTTTTCCCTTCTCACCTCCAAGGTTAATCATGCAAAAGATGTCCATGAAGGAAAGGGTGATACTGTGGGCTAAAGGTAGAAGGTAGAATGAGGGGGTGGGAGAGGAATTTTCTCTAGGGATGCCACAGAAAGTAAAAGATTTAGGAAAATGTTCCATATGGGTATGTAGGTGCCCCTCATCAACTCATGGCATGGCTTTGATTTATTCCTTCAATGACTACTGTGCTGCAAGAGAAATTCTGCAAGTCACAATTAAAACAATATGCTCAACTAAGCTAAAACTATGGAAATTCATTGAATTCCAGAGCTGGAAGGCACCCTCAAGAACATTCATGCTATAGTAATTAAAATATTTCACTCCTCTTTTCAAATTTGGGATCAATTCAATAAGGGATGTATTTGGATTGATAAAGTTTTGTCGAAGAATCCAAGGTTTCAAACATTTTATTATTAAATTTCAAGATCTTTCTTGACCAATCACTATATACTATGCCAAAATGCATGACTTCCTTCAGGGAACCAGTGAAGTTACAGGCTTATTTAAAATGGTGAGCTGAAGAGAAATTTCAATGGAAAAGTTCTACACACAATACAAAAGATACAGATAATATAAAATAATGGCTAACTGAATATCACTGGCATCTGGCTTTGGAAACACATAGACATTAACACACAAACTCATAAACAAAAACTCTCGCCCCTCTACTATTGTTCCTTACCCAACCTGGCTGTCAATGACCTGAGGCTCTGCTCAGGGTAGGAGAAAGAAGTTGCTACATCTCTGAAGATCATTTAAAAAGCAGAGATTTACTATGTGGATGGCTAAAACCTAGTAAGTATTATTTTCAAATTATACTCTAGATATATCAGAAAACAATGAAAGGACATATCTTAGTTCTTCAATGCACACTACACCGGGTAAGTTAATGGAATGTAAATTACCTATTACATTTTATTCTTACTAATGTAAGAAAGGAAACGTGTAAATGCTGTAAAAATGCCATTTTGGTTAGATTTCAACTTTTTCCTTTTTAAAGTCTTAGAGCTATAACAGCAAATAACCAAATAGACAAATTTCAGTTTCATTTCCTTTCATCACATTTGTCTGCTCACGGATGGAGACATTTCTGAGTTGCAAAACATACAAAATACAAGAAATATGAAATAAGCTTTAATACTATTTTCAGCATTAGTACAGTTCTGCATCTCTCCCCATGTTTCTCCCTTAGTCACACATCTACATCGTTAAAACTAAGTATCTAAATAAATCAGTATTTAGAAGGATTTCTAGGATCTCACACTGCAATACATATAACACAACTTTTGGGAATCTCCTCAAATACAAGATCTTCAAGATACCTATTTGGCAGTAGCTTTAATTCATTTTCTTGGTAAAACAGAAATTACTCTTAGTAGTGTTATTTCCTTCCATTTCCTTTGAAGCAAAGACCTGATACTTTCATTTGGCTCTAATCTAAACATACAAGAAACAAGCTGCATGCTCATTTGAAAAATAAATACAAGGCAGTCCAGTACAAGTAGCATTAAACTTAGAGGCAATGTAAATTGATTGTTGGTAGAAATGTCTTCTCTGAATATTTACTGAATGTTCATGTATATTAAAGTGCCAGACAGGACATGCTTATAACATGTCTTGCTTTTCAAAAGGCAGTGTACCTTATCAGAAAGAGCTCTGGATTTAGAGCAAGAGGAATTGGATTTAAAAGTGTGTTACTTACTACCTGTATGATACTAGGCCAATCACAACTCTTCAGTATCTCCATTTCCTCACCTGTTAAAGCAATGGGCTTGGAGGGGGGGAGGGTTGGACCAGATAACCTCAACAGTCTCTTACAATCTGAAGTCTCTGATCCTATGACAGGATGTGCTATACCTCAACCATCCTAAAGATGCTGCACACACAGCTCTTGGTACAATAGAGTAGAACGAGCACGACTTTGGAATCAGAGTATTTTGGTTTAAATTCTGACTTCAAATCTAACCAGATCTTGGGAAAGTGAGCTTCTCTGGACTCCTAGTTACCTCATCTGTGAAATGGGAATAATAGCACCTGTATTACTTACTTTGGAAGCTTATTGTGAAGAAAGTGTTCTGCAAATTGCAGAGAGAATATACATTACTTCTTCTTAGTATCTTCAGGTGAAGATCAGAAAACTAAAGTTAGGCTTGGATCGAGTGAAAAGAGCATATAAAAGAAGCTTTGTTCAGGGTTCAGGCTTTGTGCACCTTTTAAAAACTCCCTTTGTAGGCCTTGGTAAATTAATATTTTAAGAAGGGTTCATTATGGAACTGTTAATTAGCAAAAAGAACAGCTTCTGTTTTCTTTAACACCTGGTATCTAAGAGTGGAAAAAGGAGGCATCATGGGCAAGTTTATATTAGGTTGATGGGAAGGGGGAGGGGGAAACACTTAAATGCCATTTATGAGCCAGGCACTGTGCTAAGTAATTGCTTTACAGATATTTCATTTGATCCTCACAAAAACCCTGTGAGGTAGGTGCTATTATTATCTCCATTTTGCAATTGAGGAAACTGAGGCAGACAGAGGCTAAGTGACTTGCCCAGGATCACACATTTAGTAAATTGTATGATTTTGGATGAGAAAGCCCAGTGCTTAATCTACTGTACCACTTAGTTGGGCCTTAAAACCCAGTATTAGGAGGGTAGGCCTAACCCTAGTTTCATCATCTATGTGCTGTTCAGAAACAGATGAAAAGGAGAATAAATTCAAAGGACTAATACACACAGACATAAAGAGTAAGAGAAGAAGCAAGTCCATGTCAACGAGAGTCCACTCAGTACAATAATAATGACAATAGTCAACATTTATAGAATGACGTAAGGTCTGTAGAACACTTTATACTAAGATGGTGTCATCTGATCTTCATGAGTCCGTCAAGGACATTCTATTATTATTCTTATTTTACAGGTAAGCTGGACCTGGAGTTGGAAGCCTTGGCTTTAATTCCCAACTCTGACACTTATTAGCTTTGTGAGGATTACACTCTGTGTCTATTTTCTCATCTATAAAATGGGTATGGTAATTCTTTATTACACATCTCATAGAGTTGTGAGGAAAGTGTGCTTCAAATCTTGAAATGCTATCTAATATAGTTATTACAGTTATATAAAAAGGGAGGGGGAAACTCTAATCATTTTTTGCAAAGAAATGAAGGGAGGGCTCCGTTTTGGATAAGGATGTCATTACAGTCCTTTTCCTTGCACTTCTTTAAATATTATAAGAGGAGAAGAAGAGCATAAGATGAAGAGGAGCAAAGTACAAGTTGATAAAGCAAATAAAAATTTGGTAAGCATTAAATAGGAATAACATCAGTTAGTAAACTCTTTAAAAGACATACTTCTTACAAGAGTCCAATTTAGGGCCAGCTAATGGCCTCACTAAGGGATCTAAGTAGCATAAAATAAAAGAACTGTGGCCATACACTGGAAATGAAGACTAGGTAATATCTTTAAGGAAAAGAATTTAATATAAGCTAATTAAGATATTAGAGGTATATTCTGCAAGCCAGGATAATGAGAAAATAAATTGGAAAACCAAATTAGATGAATGAAGAAAAAGTCTGTGACAGATTTGGAAGTTGTCATGCTTTAATAGTATGTTGTTAATTAAGCAATTTATCGCATCCGTTTTACATTTTATTAGCTATTGATTTTTTAAAGCCATCATCAAGTTGTGTTCAGACCTTGTTTAAACTCTTTTTTTTTTTAACCTTTTAAGGCAATAAACAGAATCTCATAAAGTATCCTTGGATACTAGGGGAAAAAAAAGTAAATGTGGAGAAGAATGACAAAAGTCTTAACTACCTATGGGAAGGGGCAGTTAATGCTTAAATGTTAATAATTATCAATGGCAAAGGAGAAAGGCAACAGTTCCATTATCATTAGCTGTAAAGGAAGGAAAAGGAAAGGAAGGACTTACTACAGAAAGTAAAAAGGAGTTAAGATGCACAGAGACAGATAACTAAAACTTGTAAAATGCCTCAGAGGTCAAAACCAAAATGTTGTAGAAGTTCATCTTAATCAAAGAGTAGACTAGGTAATTAAATGGCAACCAAAGACTGTGAGATTTATAATACATAGTTTTCATGGAAACTTATAAGGTCTAATATAAATCTACTGGAAGTAAGATGCTCTGGGTAAAATACAATAATTTTTTAGCTTTTCTCTCCAATGACTCTTCTTAGTATAATCTTGTTGCTGACTCGAGTCTTGATTATTTTCTAGCTGGTTTCAATATTAGCTGACTTACATGTACTAAAGGCTCAAAATTCATACATATTATATGCTATATCACAGAATCAATTTATAGCAGTGGCAAATATACTTACCTGCCAGAAGGAAATGTGACTGTCAGAGTTTGAGTAGGTGGCAAGATATCGTCCATCAGGAGCAAATGCCACAGCAGTTATTGGCCCCTTGTGCCCATGAATTGTCTAAAATTAAATTTCAAAAGTGGTTAGTGATATTAATTTCTCAGATACATTGTCATATTATGTTATCTCAATTATACATATACATACAGATAAATATACAGAATGTTCAAAAGGTCATTTTTATGAATAGCAAACTTTGTTCAGTTTTTTTTTTCTCTTTACAAATCAACTTTTATAATTGTAGCTCTAAAATTAGCAGGTAGTTTCTTCACTGCTCTGTCAAAATGCTTTAGACCTTTTTGGGTGAGTCCACCTGTGTCCTGGCTTTCTAGACAGTGGTAGGCTAGCTTAGTTTGGAAGTATCATTCCAGACCCAAATGTAAAAGAATTGATGAACTGGCCTAGTATCCTTCTTTGATTATCTCCTGCCTCCACTTTCCTGGGTGTTTTTAGATAAACCATAGGGTTTCCATTTTGGACCTTTTTAAAAGACCCTGAATAAGAAGCTAGTTTTACAATAATTAACTGGGTCATCTAATTCTTTGTAAAAAACTCTTTTGGTTCTAGTGAAATAACCTGATACTTGTACATCAATTAATGCTCATGAGTGAAAAATATTTAAATGAAATTATAGCTAATATAGTTAATAAGTTAAGATGCTTACATATGGATCTACATACCTCATTAATTCCCAACCAAAAATAGCGTATCAATTTTCTGGGAATGAGTTACATTTAAAAAATTTGATATCAAGTATGTTTGTATGTATGCATATATACAAAACATACATGTACTATATATACAAGTACATACAAGTGTATGTATACACATAGTTATATATAAGCATATACATGCATAACCAGTTAGCAAGGAAATATATCATACCACATTTGAAATATACTATATACCATATAATATACTTGTATAGCACATATATAGTTATATATAAGTATATCTGCTTTACATATATACTTATGATGAATACACATTCATACTGTAGTATTGTTATGGAGGGTGGTAACTATGTTAATGAACATTAAAAACAAATTAATAATCAGACAAATAACCACGAACAGTGAAAATGAATTTAAGAGTAAAACTTTGATTAAAGAAATCTGATGAAAAATACGATCAATACTTTTAACCCCAGTGGTTTTAATAATTACAGAAAACTAAGTAAAGTGGCAAAAAGGTTAAGTACCACATTGTTTTAATCAAAGACAAGATTACAAATAAAACTTCTTGAAAATTTAAAAACCAACAATTATAGAAAATGTTAATTATATGATATATTATTGCCTCCTTAAGGTGGTCCCATGTAATCTATTGTGACTCTACAGCTCTAACAGCAAAATTAGACTGAATCTATCATCTACCTTTACATACAAGAAATTCAGGAGGACTTCATTAAGATGTTTACAATGATAGGTGGAAAAGGAAAAGAAAAAAGAGTATAAGAACTTTCCTAAGATATCTTTGAATATTATTTTATTATATTATTTGTTTTTCAAGGCATAGTGGAAACAAAATTATACGACGAGGTACATATTTATTGGAAACAGTCATTAACAGCTATTTAATAAATTGAGTACATTATTCAGTGAAGAAACAGGGAAAAATACTGTAATCACATATCAGTTTTACAAGTCTGTCTATACAAAGTTGTGAGGAATGCCAGTTAGATGACAGCCTAGTATAATACAAACTTGGTAACTGTCCATGGTACTACCACAGACATGGCTCACCAGACATTGCTCACATTAAAAATAATCTAAATAAAAATTTATAAAACATTAAATATTGCTGAAAGTCATACAGATCCATCTTGTAAGAATGCAAATGTTTCTGGTTTGGAAGTTCTTGCTGTTTTAAACTGTTTGGTACATCTGGTGAGTCTGTTACAATTTCAACCTGGTGTAATGACTATAAAAAGTATACTGTCTTTTGTTCAGAGTCTCTGAACTTCTGAAATCTGTAAAGGCACCATCTGAACTGACTTTAATCTCTATATTCCTATATCAGGGATACAGCTGTGCAAAGATCACATAAAGCATATAAGCACTTTGTGACAAGACAAAACCTAGTGGTTTGGATCTTAAATGCTAGACTGTTAAGAACAGTTCATGCTATCTGGAAAGGCCAAAATAAAAAGAAAGAAGTTTGTCTGTTTGTTTGTTTTAATGTGCAAATGAATTTCATGCCTCACCACTGTACTGGACAAAGATATTTCTGCCTTGTAAAGAGAGGAATGGAACATAAAAGAAATTAATATAATTCAGGAAGTACTATTAAAAATAAATCAAACACTTATTCCTAGCAGGAAACCAAGTGTTCCGTTGTTAAGCATCTCCCTCTCTTAGAAAAGAAACTGAGAGACAGAATTGGTAATAAGAAATGCTTGCCCTTACATAACAGTTTTCAACAGACACATGCGATGTGCTATGCAAAGAAAAGTGATTAACCCCATTTTACACAGAAGGAAACAAAGGCATATATTTGTTAGATGGCTTGTCCAGTGTCAACATAAACTGTAACTGTCTCTAGCAGACAAGACCATTCTCTTTAAAACTACAACTCACATGGCCTATCACTCCCTAGGGTGCTTGCCATTCAGCTTCCAAATGTCAAGTTGGAGGATTAAAACTAAGAAGTAAGACTTTATTATATCTGCTTTGGGGGTTAAATGGTGTAAAATGGAAGACATTTTACATTATGGTAATTGATATCATATATCATATTATTGCAAGTAATGATTAAGAAAAAATCCTCAAAGAATGTTTTTTTTTAATTCAACAGTGACTATTTTAAAATTCCACATAGCACTAAAATTCTGCTGTAACAAGTACTATCACGATAAAAAGCTCTGCAAAAGCCACAGCCCCTACTTCTTTTTATATCAAGAGAACCTAAAACCAAAAGAATCTGGACAGTCCTTTGAATTTCAGGGTAATGAAATGTAAATTATATTACTATAATGCAGAGGCAACTAATGCTGGGAAGAAGATTTACAATCTATAAAAAAATTAGAATCTTTAGAAGAATTAAATATTTTTCAAAATTTTACTTTACACTCTATGAGAGCTCTCTCACAATCACTGTTTGGATAAGATAAAATATGATTTGAAGGATGCAAAATGACTATGAGACCCCAAATATCTACTCCCACTGGTTCTAGGTAATACTTGGAATCCTCACCATTAGAGTTACTTTTGGGGGTTTATTCATTAAGCACTTATTAAGCACCTATTATGTGCAAGGCTGCAATAACATAAAAATAAAAATAATATGCTGTCCCTTTTTCACATCTTCCCCACCACCACCACCACACACATTTTGAAAATGCACTGTTTGTTAGCAGCAAACATATGAAATGTGCAAGCACAATCTCCACAACTGGTTGTCAGACTCAAAGACTGAGACAATGAAAACGTGTAAGTATGCATGGACAAAGTCCTCGCTTTGGAGTCTGAGAACTTGGGCTTATATCAAGGCTCTTCCACTTAGTGCTTGTTTGATCTTGGGCAAGTAACTTAACCATGCTCTTTGAGTCTTAGTTTGAAAAATGAGAGGAATAGAATGAATGAATTCGAAGGTCTCTTCCAGGTCTAAACTGATGATACTCTGATATTCCCTTAAAGGATTTATAATCTAGAAGTAGAAAGAAACATGTACACACAAACTATAAGAGTTTATTTGAAATAAGTGCCTAGGAGAGGTCTAAATGAGAGATTGAAAAGAATGATTCCATCTGATTTAGATGGTTTAGTCCATCTGGGTGGGGCAAAGAATCAAGAAAGACTCCTGATGGCTCCTGAATTGGGTCTTGTATACTGAGAAAGATTTTAACAAGTAAAGGAGGAGGAAGAAAAAGAAAGAGAGGGAATTAATTTTAGACATGAAGGCACAAAAGAAGGGGAAAGCTAATGCATTTTGATAAAAAATAAAGTCCCTGCTAAAATACAAGTATTCCATCTACCCCAAGTAACAACCTAACATATCATCCCTCATCACGTTAGCAAAGAGCAAAACACTAAGAAAATGGGACACAGACTAGATTTGAAGTCCAGAAGACCTGGGTTCAAATGCAGCTTCAGACATAAGCTGTGAGATCTTGAGCGAGTGACTTAGGCTCTTTGTATCTCAGTTTTCTCATTTGCAAAATGAGAGGATTGGATTCTATAGCTTCTGAGGTCCCTTTTAGCTCCATATCTATCATCCTATGAACATAAGTACATTTTGATGAGGTCGCAAATTTGCCAATTGAATTCAATAAATATTTATTAAGGGCCTATTATGTGCTGGGCACTGTGCTAAGTGCTGGGGATATAAATAAGAAAAAGCAAGATAGTCCCTGCCTTCAAGGAGTTTACAATCTGCAGTTGATGGAAAATGGAGAGGACTAGCACTAATCATAGAATGCATAGAATTAGTCCTGTTCTAAACTAATTGGTAAAAAAAAAATTTGCTTAAGACAGCATGGTGAAATGGATAAAGAGCTGGCCTTGTAGCCAAGAAGACCTGTGTTCAAGTCTTGCCTCTGACACATATTGGCTGTGTGAATTAGGATGAGTTGTTGAACTGCACTGTGTTCTAAGCAACTGTATTCAATTCAATAAATATTTATTAAGTGTCTTGTATATGCTGGGCATTCTCTAAGACTTTAAGATGTAGACAAGGTGCCAACCTGCATTGGGAGGGGGAACTGTCTCAGCTGGAACTTCCTGTACTAATGAAATCGCAGGTCCTAATGCTAACTTGGGGAGCATGCCTAAAGGCATGTCTCCTTTGGTATCAGAGTCACTGAACACACAAAGAATATATTTTATTATACTATATCACAAAGGAAGTCAAATAATGAAAGGTAACTAGGGCTGCATGTCTTTATGACACCTCAACACAAATGTCAACTTATTTCATGGTTAACTGGCATTGAGTGAACCAAGAAGGGCAGAAAGAAGACAAAGACATCTTCCTGACTGACAACCTTGCTTGTGAGTCAAGGAAAAAGGAAACCATACTTTAAAGAAAAGGCATCTCAGTATATGGGAAAAGTGAAAAAT